TTTTAAAGATATAAGCTCATCCTGAGCTTAGTTACACTCATCAAGAGCTTTCATTTGAATACTCACATGCATTTTTGATATATTTTTCATATATACATATATTTAATATATATATATATATATATATATATATATATATATATAAAATATATGAAAAATTTATGTGGGTACTCAAATGAAAGCTTTTAATGAGTGTAACATCGGGATGAGCTTATATCTTAAAAAACGTCAATATTTCACAAGATAAAAGGCAATTTTTCAATTATGTATCTAGAGATAAAGCATTCTCGAATGCAGCTTGGTGATTACAATAATAATTTCTAATAAGCTGACTAATGCTTTGGGATTAAAAAAATTTACATTAAAAAAACATTAATCTATTAAACTAATTAATTTTAGATGTTGCTGCCGAGAAAACTCAGCAAACTCTAATTGCTGGTATTGAAAAATTCGATCCAACCAAATTGAAGCACACTGAGACTAATGAAAAAAATCCACTTCCTGATAAAACTGGTAATTATCTTAAAATAATTAAACAAACTCTCCAATTAATTTTAATAATTACACATTTATGTATCTTTAATTAATAAAATGAAATCACTATCTAGTTTCAAAGTTAATTAATTTTGTTTTATTAAAAACGCAGCTATCGAGCAAGAAAAGGGAAAGCAACAATTTATTTCCGGAATTGAAAATTTTGACGCGACTAAATTGAAACATGCTGAAACTACGGAGAAGAATGTACTACCAACCAAAGAGAGTAAGTTAAATAACTAATTAATAAAAATAATTTTAATTAACTTGTAATTTATAATTAAAAATGTCTTTATTTTTTCAGCTATCGATGCTGAAAAAGTTGCGGCCTAAATCTTGCGTCGCAAGCGAGAAATCTCACAATTCTTCTCTAAAAATTAATTATTAAATATTTCGTAATATAATTATTATTAATAATAATAACAATAATAATAATGAAACATAATACATGTGTTACTTTGCAATTAAAATGAAGTGTGTGAAATTTTGAGTAAAACATAAAATATGTCTGCGAAAATTCAATTAGGTCTCGATTTGCTTATCAATTAAATTAAAAAAAAAAAAATTAATTAATAATAATATATCTAAAATAAAATAAAATAATTAAACACACACTCATTTATAAACGGGGTAGGCTTATTATATTACTGAGCTGTACCATTAGGCCAGTATTTATTCCAATGAGGTGCAATTGGACATGAACTCTATCGTACTCATATTTGCATGTGATAGCAGTCGGATTTGTCATTTATTATCTTAAAGTCGTCATAATAATTATCATTAAAAAATACTTTATTAAATTGTATTGATCTGTAACTTTATTTGGTATAATATTTTTATTATTTTATGCTAAAGTGACACGTATTTTTTACACATATTGCAGACGTATACGAATCTGTTTTATAGATCAAAAAAACGTCGAAAATACTTTTGTAAGAATTATATTTTATATAACAGGCTATTGTACTTTTTTATCAACATTTATACACATGTCCTATGCTAAAATAATTTCATTTAATAAAAATCTTTATACTGAACTTTACAATTTTTATTTTTTAAAATTAAAATTTTAAATTTCCCGCGCTAAAAAAAAATTTTTTTCATTCTGCCGAGTGTCAACGAACCTAGTCACATTCATTTTAGTCATTTTCACTCATACTAACTCATGAATAAAATTCACTTGTTAAACACAACAATCAAGGATTATAATTATTTTAATAATTTAATACGAGGTAAGAAATTATTATTATAACAATAAAATAATACACTGAAGTTAGCTGACAGCTGTCATTTTTTTTTTTATTTTTATGTCAAATTAATTTCAATAAAAAAAAAATTTTTTATAATAATTTAATTGCTGTAAAATTATTAAATAACTTCAGTGTCATTAAAATAATTTAATTAATTAATAAAATTAGTTTTAAGTAAAAATTAAATTATTTTACTAAAAACGCGGTAGAAAAAGTTATTGTCAAATATATATACATACATGTTTATGTGTGTTGTGTTATGACACACTTTGGTGTTAGTGCATTCCATCGTTACATATTTATAATAGACGCCATGTGCACACACATGAAAAATAAAACGAACCTCCAGCACGTGCTGACGGTTAGATGGTTGCTGAAGCGTGAGCGTGCGATGAGAACAAAGGATTCGCGGTACTGGTTATATTATTATTATTATTATTATTATTATAATTACTATTTTTTTTATAAATCTATTGTAGTGATACTTACTTATTATTATTTATGTTATTAATTATTTTTAACCTGTAAACTAGATGAAAAATTCACTGCAAAGAAACAGAAAACAAGAACCGCTGCCGGTTGACGAGTGGCTAAAAAATGAAGGGTATTTTCGCAAAGCAGCACCTAAAGATCCGGCTTGTCTTTTTCAAGCAGTCAGTGAGCAAATTTATAATACTCGGTTTTATCATACTAAAGTACGAAAAGAGTGTGTTGAATTTATGAAGAAACAGAAACATTTGTTTGAGGACAACAAGGTAATTTTTATTTGTCAGTCATTTTTAATAATGGCCGTTTTTAAAACTAAAGTTAGCCCAAGTTCTTAATTTTTAATTTTTAATAATTAAATTAGAAAAAAAAAAATATTTTTTAAAATTGCACTGACAGTCTTTAAAATTTTTTACAAATGAAATTTTTTTTTTATTTTCTGTAATCATTTTTTTCAATAAGAAAAAAATTCTATCAATAAAATAAAGTGCAATTTTTAAAAAATATTTTTTTGTTCTAATTTAATTATTGAAAAAAAAATTAAAAATGTCGACTTTAGAATAGACGTTTAGATTTTTTTTTATCAATTAATTTTAAAAAATTTACTGTCAATTTAGACATCTAAAAATATTTTATAATTTTTTTTAATAATAATAAATTTAAATACATTTTTTAAAATTTATATCTTCTAATTTCAGTTTAATTTTTTTTAAATAATAATAATAATGAAGTTTTTAATTATTTGATATTTTTTTTAATAATTAAATTAGATCAAAAAAATTTTTTTAAAAATTGCAAATACAGTTTTTTACAAATGCAATTTTTCTTTTTCTTTTTTTTTTTTTTTTTTTGTAGTCATTTTTTCAATAAAAAAATTTTAAATGTCAGCTAATTTAATTTTCATAAATAATTAAATTTTATAATTTTAATTAATTTTTTAAATTGAAAAATTAATAAATTATAAATGTCTATTAATTTTTATTATAAAATTTTAATAGTTAATTTTAAGAATTTTTTTATAATAAAAATATTTTTTTAATAAATAAATAAATAAATAAAATAATTATCCAGAATGTAGGCTCATTTGAAAATTATCTAAACTACTTGTCAAACCCAAACAAGTGGGGAGGAATGATGGAAATAGAAGCAATGTCACTGCTGTACAAAAGAGACTTTGTTATTTTCTTCGGTGGCCATACCACTGAACTAAAGAAGAAGATCGTGATAAACAATGGCTTCAACAAGTATATCTACCTCTGCCACACCCCCCCTCGACACTACGAGACAGTTTACAAGAACCAGATAATGGCCACTGCGGCGTTTTGTCAGTCTATTGTTTACAAAATTCTCTACCAAAATGTATTCAAAATGCCGGACATAGAAACGACTGTTGAGAAAATGCTGCATGATGACGCGTCGTATGAAGACAAGGCCTCTTGTACTGAGCTGAGTATCCCGCCGATTCCTTACAGAGTTGCCAAAGCTCTGGACCCGAATATTTACCGCAACACTGATTTCGACATTTGGTACGAATTGAGGAGTCAAGTGAGAACCACCGGGCTCTTGCGTTGGAATAATTATCGCCTGCAAGTCGGAGGAAAGTGCTTTGTTAAAATCAGCCAAGAGGATTTGAGCCGTCAACACGGTTATAATAATCATAATAACAGTAATAAATATAACAACAATCTAAGAATGATGAACAGAGGAGAGCCTTTGATCTTTTTTGGTCATATTCAGGAGATGGCTCCCAATAAAGGACCCGCTGTTGTCTTCATTGAGGATCTTGGGGAAAATCGGACTGTTCCTTATAGAGCTCTTGTTCCTTGGCACCCAAGGAACGCTTATTTACCGGCTATTACTTCTCCGGTGGCTAGGAATAAACACGAAGATCCTTCAAGTAAGTTTGGAATTTTTTTTCAGTTTTTAATTGAGGTATTTTATTATTATAAATATTTAGACTGCGCTTTCTCTAGATACATAATTAAGAAATGACCTTGTATCTTGTGAAATATTGACATTTTTAAAGATATAAGCTCATCCCGATGTTACACTCATTGAGACCTTTCATTTGAGTACCCACATCAATTTTTCATATATTTTATATATTTATATATAGTACATATATGTATATATGAAAAATATATCAAAAATACATGTGGGTACTCAAATGAAAGCTCTTGATGAGTATAACATCAGGATGAGCTTATATATTATTTTATTTTATTTTTTTTTACAGATAAGTTTAAAAATCAGCAATTCAATGACTATCGTAAAATGAAAGACTCAAGAAGTCTTGCAATCAGCCCTAGATTTGGCAATGATGATGATAATAACAATAATCGTAATAATAATCATCAAAAATCGTCGCCTAATAAAATGAATTATTCTGGGACTAATTATAGAAATAAATCTCCTAAAAATGAGTTTAATAAAAATTATCCAAATGAATCAAATAAAAAAATTGTAAGTTGGGTTATTTTTTATTTAATTTTTTCCGTAAAAATTTTGGATGTTTTTATCAATAGTTTTTTTTTTTTTATAAATAGAATACGCAACCTCAGACTCCGCCAAAAGTACCTGCGGAGAATCATAAACAAAATTTTAATTCAGTTCCTGAAACACGAGATTTTGAGAAGACGAACGGTGCTGAAGATGGTAAAAAATTTGTCGAGGATAAGAGTTTTGACACGTGCGAGGTTCAAGAGAAAAAAGAAATTCAATCTAATGGACCGAATCCTCCGTCAAACTGTAATTATAATCAGTACACTAATTTAGTTGTCAAATTGATAATGATTTGTTTTTATGAATTTTTAATTAGTTCCAGGTGAATTAATTCTTTGCAATGATATGAACTGTATTCAGTCATCAAATGAGGCGTGCTTTAACCTTCCGAATCCGTACTGTGATGAAAGGAATGTCGGGGAATCCCATTCTTTTCCTCCAGCGGGTTTCATAAACTACTCGAGTCAAGTTGTAAACTTCCGAGTTGCGCCAAGCCTTGATATTAATGGCAATGATTTGCCATACTCTGGTAATTTTATTAAAAAAAAAATTATTATTATTTTTCAATGTTCTAACTAATTAGTTAACTGAAAAAAAAAAAAAAATAATAATAATAATAATAATAATAATATTGATAATAATAACAATAATGACAAATTTTTGGTTGAAACTTTATTATTATTATTATTGTTATTGTTATTTCAAAAATTTTATTTATTTATCAATTTTTAATTTTTTATATAAAATATTGATGTAAATAAAAGATAAATTAGGTAATTTAAATTATTTACAGATATTTCTACTTTAAGATATTTTTTCAACTTAGGATTGGAAGTAAGTTAAAATAAAATTACTATCATAATAATTTTTAAAAACCCTAAACAATAAAATTAATCCAATCATATTTTTCAGTACTTCAACATGAACCACGTGTGGTGGCCGCAAAACGAGATCACCTATCCAGCAGCCCCGCCAAACACACCATTATCACCACCTCCATCTCCTCCGCGGTCGTTGAACATTATTCCCCCAGAAAATCCTCCAGTTCCTGTGGTTGACCAGTGTTACGCTCCGCTTCCACCTCCAGTGAGTGAAATTATCCCGCAGCGTTACGATAATTCAGATTACCACAAAAATTACTCACCAACAAACCGTCCAAAACAGCAACAACAGCAGCGATACACTTCTCCCGGTTTCAATGACAATCCTAATGAAAATTCGCCATTCCAAATGAAAATGCCGAGTAAAAAAAAATCTCCTACCAATAATAAATTTACGAGTAAATCCAAAAATGAACAAGATGTTACTTACAATGGTGGGAAATTTAAATACTCTCAAGGATTTAATGAGAATAGAGAATTTAATTCTGGCGGTGAATCTCCTCGTAAAAATCAACCTGGACGTTTAAAAAAAAATAATCAAGGTAAATTAATCAAGCTCATTAAGAAACGACCTTGTATCTTGTTAACTATTGATATTTTTACAAATATAAGCTCATCCTGACATTACACTCATCGAGACCTTTCATTTGAGTACCCACATCAATTTTTCATATATTTTATATATTATATACATGTATATATGAAAAATATATGAAAAATGCATGTGGGTACTCAAATGAAAGCTCTTGATAAGTGTAACATCAGAATGAGCTTATATCTTTAAAAATCTCAATATTTAAAAAAGTATAGTGCAATTTAACCAAAGTCATTATTAAATAAACCAAAATTTTATTTATTTATAGTTCACAAGTCAACATGTATTAAATTCAGTATCATTAGTAAATTAATTTTTTTTTTTTTATAGGATACCAAAATCGTCCCAATGGAAAAATAAATTTCCAACACGACCAGCAGAAGTCGTACAATCCTCCTCAGGAAGAGAATCATTTCAAGCGTTACGACAAGAAGATAATTCACGACAACCAGAAGAAAAACCAATCAACAGTCCCTGAAATGCACAATCAATCTCCAAGCCACTGCGCGGTGCCTCAGCAGATGAACTACGCCAGCGGCCCATATTACCTCAACGAATCGGAGAACAATGTCAGCGTCAACGTCTACGGGTCTCCTCCTCCAGGTCCTCCAGGTAACGTCTATCCAATTCCTTACATTCCTCACGCCGGCGATGTCCCAGCAGAGGTGAACAATTTTTCCGCGCCTATGATGTTCACCAACCCGGGTAATTACCCTCCATCCTTACCACCCATGTACCCTCCGGTCATGTACCCACCACCGCCCTTGATGCCGCACATGACTCACATGTTCAACGGGCTACCGGGTCCGAATTCTCCAGTTGACTGGTGTGTCTCTCCCGGAGGTCAGCCGGGTTGCATTCCGTACCCATACCCTCCGTCACAATCCAACGAGCCTGCATCCTAAATTAACAAATTACATTTTTATTTTTACAGTAAGATCTAGGTATATTTATATAAAAAGGAATAGTATAGAATAGACAAGGCTGGACCTGTCTATAATTTAATATCTTTATTATAGAAAAAATATAGGACTCTTTTCTACCTTTTTATATTGATTGTAATAGGCATTATAACATATTTATATGTATACTTATTTGTGAGCTCAGAGATTAATAAAAAAAGTTTTTTTTTTTTTTTTTTTTTTTTTTTTCAATTTTTTAGATTGTCATTTATAAATTTTTATTTTTTGTTTGTATGTTGAGCTTTTTTATTTTGTAATTACTTTAAGATTTCCATCGTATTGTTAGGGATGATAAGGTTTTTTCGGCTAAAAAGTAGGCATCTGATTGTGGTGATAAAGTATCTTTGTACTCTAGTAATGCAGTTCGGTCACCCAATAATCCGAGTATCTATTAAAAATATAAAAATGGTCAATATTAAAAAAACAAATAAATAATAATAAAATTTTTTAACTTATTATTATCTATATTAAGAGAAAAAGCAAAATTTTGTGGCCAGTGAATTTATATGATAAAATCTAGATACATAATTAAAAAATGACCTTGTATCTTGTGAACTATTGACATTTTTAAAGATATAAGCTCATCCCGATGTTACACTCATCTTTGTACCTTTCATTTGAATACCCACATGCATTTTTCATATATTTTATATATTTATATATATATCATATGAAAAATATATCAAAAATGCATGTGGGTACTCAAATGAAAGGTCTCGATGAGTGTAATATCGAAATGAGTTTATATCTTTAAAAAGGTCAATATTTAAGTAAGTACAGTTTAATTTAACAAATATCTCGTGAAGTATTGACAAGTTATAAATAATTAGAAAAATTTTTGTTATTATTATTTTGGCTATTTAAAATTGTTATAATGATAATAATAATTAAATAATTTACCTCAACCACTGCTCTATTACATCCATAATTTTTAGCAAGTTGTAATCTATTCCTCATGTTATCTACATACTTTAAAAACTTTTCAATTATAGTCGTAGGTGCCTGACCTTGATGTAAAATTTTCAAAATATCTTCTATTGGTAAGCTTGATTGTAATTTTTCGCTTCCCAGCCATCCCTATAAAAAACAAAATTTATTTTATTTAACGCCAAGCGCTAACATACATAAAAATTTTACAACCTTAGATAAAAGTATATTATTAACATCATCCCAAGCTTGAACAGAAACCCGAGTTTTCAGCACAGTTTTCTGATACTGTCTTGGAGTAACATCATGTTGATTTGCAAAAATTTTCGCTGGAGAAACAGCGGCGTCTTGTGAACTATTCCAATTATTTTCACATATATATTTCAAACAATCCAATACACTGTTGTTTCCCAAATTTTTTACCCCTCCGCTGTTTAACGCAATCTTCCATTCCAGTAATTTTATAAAATTATTTACAAATAAACATTCTTTGTACTCTGGTAAGTTGATAAATTGAGTCTTGTAGCATTTTATTAATTTTTGAAGAAGCCTTCCATCATCTCGAGTATTTTTTATTGTTATTGCCAAAGTTTTTAGCTGAAAATTCCAATTTAATCAGTAAGTATTCCTTAAAGTAAATATATTTTATTATAAATCATAAATCTTAAAAAATACTCACTGCTGCATCGACCAATCTGCCTTGCATCCTGCAAAATTAAATACTAATTAATCCATTAAATAAATTAACTAATTAATGTACAACTTACATCAATAAATCAGTAACTTCATTAACTTGTAATCTGGTCGACAAATAATGAACATAAACATTAAGAGCGTCAGGTCTTTCCATTAAAATTTTTTGACTCAACGCAAGCTTCAGAGTTTTGATAATAAATAATGTAATAATTAACACAGCGTTACCATTACCGCTTGCAATTGCTGTGTCTAGTAACGAAGTTTTATTACTAAGTGATTTATAATTCTCTAGGGAGTAACTTTGTCCTAGAAGAATTCTTCTGACAGTTACCGACGGATTGACAATATTTGATTTATCAGGTAACAGGTGTCTGTTTTCTGCAGTTAAAACTAAAAATAATAATAATAATAATAATTATTATTATTATTATTATTATATGCAATAACGATAATAATAAAATTTAAAACAAAATCTAATATCATTATAGTTGTAAAAAAATGTTATTATTTTTTTTTTTATACTTATTGTTAAAACCGGCTCAGAAATAATTGCCAGCAAAGGTTTAAACGTCAAATCAACAGATTCTGGAGTCAGATAAGACGATGAAGGTTCAGTCGGTGAATTTATTGTTGAAATTCCTGCTCTTAGCTGAGCAGTACCAGTTTTTGAAATTCCAAATACGTTGTCTGACTATATTAATTAAATTTTTAGTTACTTTACAAATTATTTATAATTTTAAATGTCAAAATTAGCAGGCATATAATTATTTTTTTTTTAAACAAATTAAAATTATTAAATAAATATTTTAATTAATTTAAAGTCTAAAATTCAAATCAAAAAAATTAAAATCATAAATTAGAGTCAAAAATTAAAATCAAAAGTTTAAGTAAAAAAAAAAAAAAGAATAAAGTCTGCTAATTAAAAATTACTGACCTCATTATTTTGATCAAAGCTAAAAGAATGTCCTTCACTGCTATTCCAATAATCCTCATCATCCTTCGACAGCTCATATTTTGACATTTTCTCTCTAACACAAATAAAAAACCCCAACAAGCAAATCTTGTTTATACCTCTTCAATAATATTCTACAGTATCTGCTAGTGCCTAAAAAAAACACAAAACTACTTGACATAAAAAAAAAAAAAAACATAAAATAAAATACACCATCATAAAATCTCTTACCTTATATTATTTCTCGTTTGAATAATTAAAAAAAAATCTTGTCCTCGTTTTAGCTGACAAAAAAAAGAAACAGAGAACTCACAAAAGTATGAATATATAAATAAATGTATAGTGCGTTGTACACAACCAACTATAGCTACAGTTTACACCAGTCACCAGAAGCCGATATAAAAAAAGAGCGTTTGGCTGCTCGCTTATACATATTTCTTTAAACTATTTCTCAAGTAATAACTTATAAATCTATATATTAATATAAAATGACAAAGTTTATGTAAAAATGGCTTGCTTGTAATAACAATGAAGAGTAATTAGCATTTTAAGGCGGGAAATCTAGGTAAGTCCAGTGAAACAACTTTCATAACCTAAAAATAGTGTTGAAATAAATAAAATAATCACAAAAAATTAATGTAGTTATTTTTTTTTTAATTAAATCAGTTTACAAGATAAATAATTTTTTTAACTAATAAATTTCCAAAATGTTTTTTTTTAAATTCACATTTAAAAAATAAAAATTCAATTTTATAAGAATAATTTCAGAACATGAAAATTTTAACAATTTTTTACTATTAAAAAAATTTTTATTTGTAAAAAAACTATAAGTGCAATTTTCAAAAAATATTTTTAACTTCTAATTTAATAAATGAAAAATAAAAAAATTGAAAACGTCTAATTATAGTGTTATTTTCTAAACAATTTGTTTATTGAAAAAAAAAAAAAAAAAAAAAAAAAAAAAATGAATAATACTAAAGTTAGCCGACATTTTAAATTTTTTTTTAATAATTAAATTAAAAACAAAAGAATTTTTTCTAAAATTTTACAGTTTTTTACCAGTGAAAATTTTTTTTAAAATAATTTTTTCATTAAAAAAAAAGTTCTAAAAATTTTTAACTTAATTTTCATAATTAATTAATTTTTATGAAATTTTTAAAATAAAAAATAAATTTTAAATGTCTATTAATTTTTATTATAAAATTTTAGTTAATTTTTATTTAAAATTTTTACAAATTTTTATGATAAAAATATTTGTAGTAAAATTTCAAACTTAAATATTACATTACTTTTAATTTAACAATAATAAAAATTTCTAGACTCACTTAAAAATGGCCAAAGGAAGATTAATAACCCGATCTGTATCAAAGAACAGACCAGTAGACATGACTCTAAACCTGGAGTGTTCAGACGAGCCGTTGAGCGAAGCTCAACTAGCAATGTCCACCAAATTAAAAGAAAACTACGAGCGAGTGGTGTCAACCCTGGACGACCTTATGAAGGAGCACAGCGGGCAGCTGCTGACCCAGGTGGGAGGTGTAAGCGCCTACCAATACAAGCTCTCATCAAACGCAGTGAACAGCCCGTCTCTGATAAAAGCGAACCAGCTGAGCGTAGTCAATCAAACCAAGTCAATAAAGCTCAACGTGTTGGACACCTCCAACACAGTAACACCCTTAACCACCACGACAACAACCCCGCAAGGTAACATGCTGGTCGTAGACCCACGAATGGGCGTCTTGCTAGGCACCGTGGTCTCTAGCCAATCTTTATCAGCGCCATTGGTGACAACATCAACCGCAGCATCAACACCAGCAGCTACAACAGTCTCTACCGCTTCCCAGAAGTCTCTTATCAGCACCACTGAAAGCACAACTACTCCAACTAACTCCCGGATTACCACCACGTCCTCCGGAGCAATTACTTCAGTGGTAACCACTCCGACCACCATGAGGAGAGCCAAGGTTGTTCCTCTGCAGCAGCTTCAAGAAGATCCCGAGATTCCTGCATTGAGATTGAGGAATAAAACAGTAACTACTTCCTCTACTCCAACCACGACCACCCCCACAGCGAGTATGAACTCCCAAGGGATCAAGATCAACAGGTCTACAACTTCCTCAAATTCAATCGTAGTCTCCAGGCCGACTGAGCAGACCAGCATCGGTGGAATTCGCGTCGGAGCCAAGAATGGAGCTGGTGATGTAATCGAGGAAGCCAAGAAGAACCTCCCGGACAGCAAGGAGATCGCTTTCAACAAAGTTAACGGCACCAGGACCTTCCCTTCATTGGTAGTAGTCGCGCGACCTCACCTGAGCATTAAGAACATCACCACAGCCCAAGCAACTCAAGAAAGAAGCGAGTTGGACATGACTGTCAAGAGTGTCTTAGTCTACACACCCTCTAAATTCGCAGAGTGGCTAATTCAGAAGGGCCTGATCCGCTCGGAGCAGTTCTGCACTCAACATCCCACGGGAGTAGTCGACCCAGCTGGAAATCCTTCTTACAAGAAGCTTAAGTTAGGAATGTACAGCGACTCGGGAACTTTTCCTTACTCTGGAGGATATGTCTGGATCGCCAACTGCTGCCACAATAAATTTGTATCAGTTTTTTCTGGGTCTATATTCCAAGGAGCGCCTCACCCGCCTTCAGTGCTGCTTAAGTTGATCTACCACTGGTCCTGCCAGACAAATATTCAAAACGTCGTTTCCTGGGTCAAGGTCTCCAATGTTTATGTCAAGAATTTTTACACCAACCTCCGGAGCGTCTGCACGGCCGCTATCTGGGACAAGAGCTCCCTAATGGGCGGCAAGGGCTCCAGTATTCAAGTTGGGGTGATAAGTTTAGGCACTACGTCTCAAGACGGCAATATGCGGCAAGTAAAGGTTGAAGTTTTGGGAATTCTTAATGCTGAAACTGGACAATTGAGATTGAGAGCCTGCGACCCGATGCATGACTCCGACAGGTCTTTCAGGAGGAGGTTTAATAATATTCTCCACCCTCTGGAGAATTGGGTTCATAAAGACTCTAAAATTCTGACTGATTTTACGGTAGACAAACCTACTCTGCAAGACATGGGCTTCTCCCAAGTCCACCAGACGGCTTTTAGCGACCAGAACCCCCGGAACACCCGGAGCAACTACCAGATAATGGAGTACCTGAGAAAAATAGTCCCCAGGATGTTCCAGAACACTCTGAGTCTCTTGAGCCGGCAGATGATGCAGCAGTTCCTTGATGAGCTAGTTTGGCGCGAGACTTTTGGCTCCACAGCCGCTCGGGCGTTTGATAACATCATTCTGCACCTCGCGGAGCAAACCAAGCTGTGCACCAGCGAGTCGCTGTTAGACCGGCTGGCTAAAATCTCGACTAATCCTTTTCAAGACTGGTCTTATACTGTCGAGCCTCAGCCTCTGCCTCTGCCTTCTGTCCCGGAGCACTTGAAAGTGGGTCTAGGAGGTGGCAAGAAGGAGAACAACCGCCAATCGGAGCCGGTTCAATTGAAGCCCGGGCCTAAGAGAAAACGCAAGCGGCAGCAGGACGCTGGCCCAGAAGCCAAGAGACCGCTTTTGGACTTTAAGCTGATTCAATATCGAGGCATTGAGCATCTGAAAAGCGACCAGATTCCGCTGAGTGAATTTTATTACGCGACTGTTGATGGAGATCCTCACCAGGTGGCGAAGGAGGATAAAAGCGCGGTTGATTTTAAATGCTTCCTCTGTAACAGTGTTTTGAAAACTAATACGCAGATTATGGAACACATGATTTGTCATGTTCCACCTAGAGTTCCGGGACAGACTGTGGTCAATGATGATGATGATGAAAATAGCAGCAGTAATAAGAATAATAGGAGCAGTCATGTGTGCAGGTACTGCTGCGCTGCTTTCTCATCCAAGCACCAGATGACCACCCACATTGACGAGCACCATAGTGTCTTTGGAAAGAGCGACGACGCTGCTATGGTGGCTTGTGGAATCTGCGAGCAGAAGTTCAGCAACACCCAATTGTTGATCAATCACATGTCGTTTATGCATTTGCCCTCGGAGATGCCTTACAGGTGCGACAGCTGCTGGTACAGGACCTCAAGTCACAAGGACATCATTGACCACTTCTATGAAGTTCATGAGAAAGGAGAGACGCTCCAGTGTCCTTATTGCTTGAAGCTAATTCCACTTGCTAAGGATGGAAAAATCAGCACTAGCAATGTCCATGCTTATTTGGTTCATTTGCAGAGACACATGGTGAGGCGCGAGCAAGGTAGGGGGAACAAGTGCACCAGGTGCTGCTTGTGGTTCAATCAGAAGAGCCTGCTTCAGAGACACCAGCGGACTCTTCATCAGGTTTATCATGGATCCAAGGATCCTAACTTTCATCCGTTTAAACATCCGATGTCAGATTCGGATCAGAGCAATATTATTGTCATTTGCAAATCGCAGCACCAGCTCAGGAGAATTGTTGTTAGAAGTCCCTCGCCGGAATTGCCGGAGGATGATAATATTAGAAAGTGGAGCTGGGGACAGGTTAAGATTCATTTGCCTAATATGGGACTCAGGTCTTATCAGCCGTTGGCTTGTTTGGAGTGCGAAGAGGATGTTGATGAGGAACAACATTTTCCTGGGGAACAGAGGTGCTTTCAGTGTCGTTATGTTACTTGCTGTTGGAGAGCTTTTAAAGAACATCAGCAGCAGATTCATAATGAACGCCCGATGACTAGTTTAATTGTTCCATCGCCGCTGGTTAATATTCCACTGGAGAAGAAAATGAATTGCTCGTGCGGGTTTGGGACTATTGATGGAAATTTATTGGGTAATTTTTTTTTTTAATTTTAGTATTGCTTTTGTTTTTAAAAAAGTACAAGTGTTTTTAGATGGATTTTTTTTTTTTTTTTAATATTTTGACAAAAATATTAAAATTTTTCTTTATTAAATTATGAATATTGTTAAATTGCACTGTACTTTTTTAATTATTGACATTTTTGAAGATATAAGCTCATCCTGATGTTATACTCATCAAGAGCTTTAATTTGAGTACCCACATGCATTTTTGATATATTTTTCATATATACATACATATAATATATATAAATATATAAAATATATGAAAAATTGATGTGGGTACTCAAATGAAAGGTCTTGATGAGAGTAACATCAGGATGAGCTTATTTCTTTAAAAATGTCAATAGTTCACAAGATACTTGTCAAAATACCCTGTACTTTATTAACTATTGACATTTTTAAAGATATAAGCTCATACTGATGTTACACTCATCGAAACCTTTTATTTGAGTACCCACATCAATATTTTATATATTTATATATATATATATATATATATGTATATATGAAAAATATATCAAAAAATTGATGTGGGTACTTAAATGAAAGGTCTCGACGAGTATAACATCAGGATGAGTTTATATCTTAAAAAATGTCAATATTTCACAAGACAAAAGGTCATTTCTTAATTATGTATCCCAAAATTCTCTCTAATTTTTTTTTTTTTAATTCCAGCATCTCATTTGGTAAAATGTCGACAAACATCACCTCAAGCTACTGTAAAAGCAGTGGTCGAAACAGGAGAAGAAAATAAAGAATCTCCGGTAATGCTGGACAGTCTGGGCCTGATACCCAAATCAGTACCCTAAAAAAAAAAAAAAAAAAAAAAAGGCAGTACAAGAAAAAAAAACAAACTTTGACTATTGGTATAATTCAAATAAAATAAAATGTCTTATACTCATCGCACTTATACTCTCCACTGAGTGCTTTTTTCACAACAAATAATAATTAAATCAATCGTAATTAATTTTTGTGTATTGATAAAAATAATAATAACATTTAAAATGAATTTTTTTTTTTTTCAGGTTATTTATTTAGCAATTATTCATTCCCTCGTAAACCTACAAATAAGAATAATAAATGAGCGTACATATTTTAGCGACAAAAGTTTCGGAGTAATTATTATTAATAATAAATTTTATTATTTATATATCTAAATTTTTATTATGATAAAAAAAAAAAAAGGCAGTACAAGAAAAAAAAACAAACTTTGACTATTGGTATAATTCAAATAAAATAAAATGTCTTATACTCATCGCACTTATACTCTCCACTGAGTGCTTTTTTCACAACAAATAATAATTAAATCAATCGTAATTAATTTTTGTGTATTGATAAAAATAATAATAACATTTAAAATGAATTTTTTTTTTTTTCAGGTTATTTATTTAGCAATTATTCATTCCCTCGTAAACCTACAAATAAGAATAATAAATGAGCGTACATATTTTAGCGACAAAAGTTTCGGAGTAATTATTATTAATAATAAATTTTATTATTTATATATCTAAATTTTTATTATGATTGGATGTAATTGTTACAAATTAAATTGAAATAGAGAAAGAAAAAAAAAAAACAATATAATATGTAATTAAAAACATGAATGTAAATTTTAAACAGTAATATTTAAATTGTATATGCACAATATGTTGCCAATTATTTAAATTGGGTCTAAACGCTACACTAAAAATTGAGAATACTACTAACACAAAAAATTTTTTTTTTGACATTGTTAAATTTTAATTATCTTTTTTTTTTGGATTTTAATTTTTTTTTATATATATATATTTTTATCATTACTTTAAGTGTCTGTATGAGTCAACACAGAAACCGCCTTTATTAATGGTAATTTTCAATTATTAATTGATTGGATTCACAAATGCATTATATTAATAATTAATTAATTAATACTATTAATTATAAATAAATTATAGTGTTAATTTATAACTAAAAAAAAATGATAATTGAATAAAACTAATAGTATAAATTAAAAATTAATACTAAAAAATAATATTAAAAAAAAAGCCAGTGTCCCAATCTGCCACGAAATTAATAATGAAATTTACCATCAATAAATAATTAATAAGTTGCTGTAAATATTATTGTTGGCGCGTGATATCTTGGCGTCGTCGTGGCGGATGATTAAGTAAGTCACAAGAGGCACCTTTGGAATCGCTTAAGCCATTTATAATGTGTGTGTGTGTGAGTTAAATGTTTCTGCGAGCTTGTTTAAACAAATCACATCTTTAGAGTATCAACGAGGAGAATTGTTAAAACCTTTTTATAATATAGTTTACTACTTCATAATACAATAACTATGACCTTTTAAGTTTTTTTAATAACGTCATTGTATACCAATTTTCTAATTTAAACAAAATTTACGACGATTTTAAGATTTTGTTCTCAAGTTTTTTCCGAATAGCTAGGAATTATTAGTATGTTAATTTGGTTTTTTATTTTAAGAAATTTGGGATTTTTAACTATAAACTTGAGAAATTTGAGTGGGAAATTACTCGTCGACTGTGTAAAGCATGTAGAGATTACCCGGGTCACAATTTGGTGGTACTAGTGAATGGTTCGGAGGTAGGACTGTAAATCCCAAGAACATGAAGGTACGAACCAACATTGCTGCAACAAAATTATTTATTTATTTTTAAATTAATTTTAACAATTTTTTTTTTTTAATTAATTTCAACAAATCATTTTATTAATTAATTTTAACAACTGAATTCAAAAATTAATGTAAAACATTAATGCTTACATTAATTTTGAAAATATAATGTTAATTATTAATTTTACATATCAATGTAAAAAATTAATGTTAAGCATTAATGTAAAGCATTAATTTAAAAAATTAATTAAAAGAATTAATGTGAGAAACTAATTTTTAAAATTAATTTCAAAAATTAATGTTATAGATTAATTTTGAAAGTCAATGTAAAAAATTAATAAAAAAAATTATTATAAAAACCTAATTTTAAAAATGAATATACAAAATTACCTCGATCCGTACGATCTTTACGGAGACAGATGACAACATTACTGCAATGAAGAGTCTCTTCAGCGTATTCAAGAAGAGAAACAAATCCCTCCTTTGAACCCTCCGGAAGAAGACAGCTTGGAACCCGAATGTAAAGTGTACCGCGCCAAATAATAGTTTCCCATTCTACGGAAGTAGTTTCGGTCAAATGAAGAGTAAATACGAGGCGGACTGACTCGTTGGTTTTAACTGCTTTTAACAATTCATCCTCCTACATAGAATAAAATACCATAAGCAAAAAAAATTAAATAATGATAAATGATGATAGCTTAACATATGAAGCTTCAACATACTGATACAATGTGTGAGCTCACAGAGAGCTGACTCTGCTTAATCCCCACACCGCGGCTCTCTGTGTTGACTGCAGATACAGACAATGCGGTATGGGGCGCATCAGGACCACCACAGAGGCCCCACTCCCAGCGTTATGGAATAATATTGCTGCTGGCGATTGTTTTCTTCTAAACTTTCCTCCATACTCTTGAAAGAAGAATCACTGAGAAATAACAACACAAATTAATAAGTACGTCTTTTCGACAAATTAAACAAATTAAGGCTTAAAATAGAGTCAATAGACAATTGACTACTCATTCATTACTCAGTACATACTTACATACTTATATATGTATGTACAAATAACAATAAAGCCAATTTATATTATGTTTCAATAACACGTCATATATTATGATGCTTAAATTAACATCTGATAAATTTTATGAGCGTATTATTGTTAGAATAATTATTTTAATTGATATATTACTCAAATAATTTTTAAAAAATTGTTTAAGCATTAATTAATTTTTTTTAATCTAAAAAAATATATCTATTGTCATTAAAATTAATTTGGCAAAAAATAATTGACGTCTAGTAAATTTTATGAGTGTATTATTGTTAGAATAATTATTTTAATTGATATATTATTCAAATTATCATTATAAATAATTAATAAAAAAATTTTTCAAGCTTTAATTAATTTTTTTTAATCTAAAAAAAAATCTTGTAATGAAAATTAATTTAGCAGATATTTGATAATTTTTTTAACAAATAAATTTAGCTAAAAAAAAAAAAAAAAAATTGACATGTAGAAATTTAAAAAAATAAAAAATGCAATTTTTTAAAAATAATTTTTTGGACAAAAATCTATTAAAAAAAATTAAAAAATGATTAAGTCTAAATTTTATCATCATGTTTTTGAGTAAAAAAATATTTCTATATATTTCAAGTTGTTTAACTAATTAAAGTCTAATCTGATTGATAATATATAATATACTGATAACACTATCAATTACCTTCAAGCGTTTACATAAATAAGATAATTTTTATTCTTTCGAATTTTTATTACGACCTAATATTTTTATTAATATTATTCTGATCATAATAATAATTCTTCTTTTCAATTATATAATAAATTTATATTTAATTAAAAAATATGTGATGAAAATTTATGAATATTTACAAAATAAATTGATTCAGTTGGCTTAAGACTTTTTCATTAAATACGATTCAGAAAACTAATAATAATACAATACAAATAATAATGACGATTATGATAAAGAATTTGATGACAATAAAAATAATAATAATAGTAACAGTGTGATTTTAATTATTAAAAAAAAAATTTACTCACCAATTATTAGAAATTAAACTAGGCATAATTTCGTCTTGATTACTTTCCCAATTAATTAACGAAAAATAAGAGCTAAAATTCATACTTTTTTTTTCGTAAAATCTTGGCGATTGTTTAAATAACTGGTAGGCGTGAATGGTGTTACTCAGATGCAGATAATGGACACGGACACGTTTAGAGTGATGTCGAACACAGCTATATAAAATGTAAAAACTATACTAGTGCTTAGTTTTAAAGCTAAAATAATAATTAAAACATTAACAGTAAATGAAATCAGCTGTTTATTATTGTTAAATAAAATAATAACACTTGTAGTGGAGAAAAATACTCACGAGATAGACTACTCAGCGGAGTTATACATCAAATGATACTGGGTAATGCGTATTATATTGACGATGATGTCGTAGTTCCAATAATCAAAATGGCGGAGCACAATCGCTGTAGATTTACTTTGGGTGTGTGAGTCTAGATGCTTCTATGTGTCGTATAGAAAAGTTCACTCACTGTACTTGTATAACCAGTCGACTCGACTATACAGTCCCAACTCGACATAGGTAAAAAGATCTTGCTCGAACAGCGAACAGTGTAGGTGGCAGAGGGACAAAGACATTGACAGCGTGACGTATATATCACGATCACGTGGTAAATCAATGTGAGAGTTGAGAGTCACGTAGCACCTATCATCTACACACTTATACACTCTCACTACAGGTTACACTTAATATATAAATTATATTTTGGTATTGACAAATAATTATTGTAATATAAATTAACGAAAATTAAGCTAGCTTAATCTTATTTATTTAACTAAAATAAGTATATATATATGATTATATTGTGAGTAATATATATGTATATATTTATATATAATAAAGAAGTATACATAAATTTTAAAAATTATAAATAAATAAATTTATAAAAATGTCATGTGTGTACGCAAATCAAAGCTCTTGATGACGAGTGTAACATCGAGAAGAGCTTATATCTTAAAAAATAGCAAAATATAATTATTTACAAACTTCAAGACTTTTTTAATTATACTAAAATTAATATATATATATATAATAAATTTTAATATATAAATATACTAGCTAGAACGTTGTTTTCATTCTCTTAATATTATATATAAAATTTTTACCTCGTTAGTTTTGTTTTGATGCTCCATGTTTTCCATTGTTGATGTCACATTTCCAATACTACAATTGTAAATAATCTGGATGATAAGTGTACCTCCAGAAAAATACGGGAAATTTTTCTGGAGTCGGAAAAAGCAGAACAATTAAGTCCCGCCTTTCTGCATACATCGTATCATTTTTGATAGTATTCGTAAAAATAAACAAGGGTATTTAAATTTGAACAAAAAAAAAGCTTCCGCGAAATTTTAAACTGTTTAAAAGTTACGCTATTGCCATCGGCTAGTATTTTTTACATTATTAACTGTTGATAAAGTAAAATAGCGTAAAATTAAATATATATAGCACAATGTAAATATTAAAAACTCCAAAATTGCATTTTTTTATGAAAGTAAATAACGTGGAAATATCGCCGATTTTATTATAAAAAATGGCGATATCATTCTGCGCAAAGAGAATTAAAATTCTAAAAAGTTATTCCTTTAACAAACTGACAGCTCGTAATAATGGATTTATTATACTGTAAGTATTTTTTTACTCAATTAAATTTTATATTTTTAGGTTAAAGTTAGATATTTAAAAAATTATTTTAATTTAATTTAAAAATTAGTCTTCCAGAAATTGGGGAAGATCTACCCGAAAAAGATCCTCTTATCAAAGCGGATGGATTCCCAGAGTTTAATACCTTCTCAGTGGAGCGTGCCATGGCTGCCGTAGGCAAGGAAACCACCACTTACGAGCAGGAGGTCCAGAAGCTCGAGCAGCAGATTATAAGTGAGTTTTTTTTAATAATTTATAAACTACATTTCTTCAATTAATAAATAAATTTAATTTATATGACATTAAAGGTAGCAGTCGTTTTACCATTTTTTAATTTTTTTTTAACAAATAAATTTACTCCGAAAAATTATTTCTAAAAAATTACATTTTTTATTTTCTAAATGTCAATATTTATCCCTCATTTTCTTTGACATAATTTATTTGTTGAAAAAATTCTTAAAATTATAGAAAATATCTGCTAAATCAATTTTTATTTAATTTAATGAAACTTTACAAGTTAGAAACTTTTAGAAATTTTTTTATTTAGGATTTATTACAAAAAAAAGAAAATAAAAAATTTCACTTGTAAAAAACTTGAAAAACTATCAGTGCAATTTTTTAAAAATATTCTTTAGTTTTTATTTAATAATTAAAAAATTAAAAATGTCGGCTAACTTTAGTATTATTTTAATTTAATAAAATGTTTTTAGTGAAGAGGAAAGTTGACATTGTCAATGACTTGATAAATCCCTTGGAGCTGTTGCATGTCAGGTTGCATACGACTTGGAACATCACCAAGGCGCTTTACTTCGGCAACCAGAGCCTCATGCCGACCCAGTACTACGAGTCCATCCACACTACCATGGCGAAAGCAAACTCCATGCCCCACATGAGTGTCCCGTTGTACAAAGCTTGGAAGAAAGCTCTGGAGAATCCAGACAGCAATCTTACACCGGCTCAGCAAAAAATCATCGAGAAGCACGCTCTGGAGGGCAGGTTGAACGGTCTGGACCTCGAAAGAAAGAAGCGGGATCGTTTTACGTACTCGAATATTAAAATCAACCAGAAGAGGAACGACTTTGCTCAGTGTATTAAATTCGCGACTAAGATGTTCCGCACGACCATTGACAATCCTCATATATTTAAGGAATTCCCGGAGGAGTTTTTGAAGTTCACGGCTGTTAATCCCAATGAGTATGAAAAGGGTCCTTGGAAAATTACCCTAGAGCCACATATTGTTGATACTTTTATGCAATATTGTCCAGATCGAAATCAAAGGTAAGGATTAAAAATTTTATTCCTTATTAATTAAATAAATCTAACTAGCAACCTTGCAGTCACTATGTGAACTATAAAAAATTAAAATTTTGGTTTATTAAATAATCAATTTTATTAAATTGCATTGTAATTTCTTAAATATTGATTTTTTTAAAGATATAAACTCATCCCGATGTTACACTCATCAAGAGCTTTCATTTGAGTACCCACATGCATTTTTCATATATACAAATATATTATACATATATATAAATATATAAAATATATAAAAAATTGATGTGGGTACTCAAATAAAAGGTCTCGATGAGCCTAACATCAGGATGAGTTTATATCTTTAAAAATGTCAATATTTAACAAGATACCAGGTAACTTCTTAATTAAGACTTCTAGATATTATAAAACACTGTAATTGTTTATAAATAGTCACAGGTAGTAAAAAAAAAAAATAATTTTACTACAGGTGGAACGTTTGGCAAGCCTTAGTAAGCCGCGGAGCGCAGCGCGGCGAGAACACCCTGCGAACCAGCTCCACCCTCGAAGACATCCGTGACCATAAAATGGAGCAAGCAAAACTCCTGGGCTACAAATCCTTCTCCCACATGAGCATGGAGACCAAAATGGCGGGCAGCCTAGAGAACATCTACCGAGTGATGGACAACCTCCTGGAGATAGCTCGCCCCGCTCAAGAGAAAGAATTCTCAGAGCTGACCAACTTCGCGAAAGACCGCGGATTTACCGGCGAGCTGATGGCCTGGGACATCGACTACTGGAGCCGAAAGTACGCCAAGAGCGTGTACAACTTCAACGAGGAAGCTACCAGAGATTACTTTCCCCTCCCACAAGTCCTAAAAGGTCTCTTCCAATTGATAGAAGATTTATTTGACGTCCGGATCGTCGAAGCTCCAATAAAGCCCGACGTGTGGCATGCAGACGTAAGATTCTTCGAAGTGTACGACCTGGCTGCCCAATCGCCGGAACCAGTCGCTCATTTTTATTTAGACCCTTACGAGCGAGGCCGCAAGATGGTCGCAGCTAAGACAGCTTCCTGGGCAGTTCCCATCCAGCCGAGGAGTTTAGTCGCCGAGAAGAAGCCTCTAGTGGCGCTGATCTTCAACTTCAAGCCTCCGGTAGGTGACAACCCGTCGCTGCTCACCTTCCAGGATGTCACTTATTTATTTAAACAAGTCGGTCATGCTCTGCAGCATCTTTTGACCAAGGTTGACTACAGCATGGTCGGAGGCACCAACTCCGTCCAGTGGGACGCTGTGGAGGTCAACAGCAATGTCTTCGGCAACTGGCTCTACGAACCAGAGGTGCTAAATTCCATTTGCAGGCACCACAAAACGGGTGAGTCGATGCCAGCTGACCAGCTGGAGAGCATCCATCAGATGCGCAGGCACATGGCGGGTTATAAACTCTGCAAGGAGCTGTATTTTGGAAGGCTTGACCTGGTCCTTCATGAGGTTCCGGACTTTTGGGTTCCAATTGTCGCTAAATTGTATAAACAACACTTTGTCTTTCCCCTGGATAAAATGGACTCGCATTTGACATCCTGGAGCGCGATTTTTTCAGAAAACATGGGCGCTGCTTATTACAGCTACCTTTGGGCAGAAATGCTCGCTGCTGATGTCTACAGTGCCTTCCAGGAAATCCCAGCTGGTGATAAAGACCTCAGGAAACAAACTGGAGCTAGGTTTAGGGAGACTTATCTCTCCTTGGGTGGTAGTGTTCATGCTAGTCAAGTTTTTAGACAGTTCCGCGGTAGAGACCCTAATTATGAGGCTTTGTTGAGAAATGTTGGGTTGAAAGATAATGAAGTTGATGATTGATTTGCTATTTTTGCAAATCGGACTGATTGATTGTAAAATACTTCTGAGCGCTTTTTTTTTGAAATTCTTTTTAATTAATTATGTATTAAATGTATATTCAGTTAAATTTATTTAGTGTATTATATAAGCAATTAAATCTTAAAATACTTAACAATTTATTACTTAGTGGTTTAATAAAAAAAATATAAATGTATATACGCTCAAGTTAATTTTTATACAACAGCAACGCATATTATGCTGATGAACAATAAAATTATTACAACCCAGTACCCACAAGTACGATCTTTTCTCTCTATAAAGCGAATTTGTCTTGTTCCGTCTATCAATCTTTCGTCGGTTTGCTCCATATGCTCGGCTAGATCATCGATTATTTCTGAAAAAATTTTTAAATAAAAAAAGAATTTATTTGATTATTATTTTTAAAAATATAAGCTCATCCTGATGTTACACTCATCAAGAGCTTTCATTTGAGTACCTACATGCATTTTTGATATATTTTTCATATATACATATATATAATATATATAAATATATGAAAAATTGATGTAGGTACTCAAATGAAAGGTCTTGATGAGTGTAACATCGGGATGAGCTTATATCTTTAAAAATATCAATAGTTCACAAGATACAAGGTCATTTCTTCATAAAAGCCCATAATATTAATAAGATAGATTAATATCTCACCATTCTGATGGTCTACTTCAGTGTGTATCGTCTGGGCTATTGTTTTTTGTCTTGTTATCACTTTGTACAGCTCATCAAGGCCCCGCTCTTGCTCTAAAAAATCAAATTAATTATTATCATAATTATTACAGTTTAATTAAAAAAAAATATATATTTATTTTTACCCAATAAAGCAGCTTCATTCTGAGACTTGAGATCAACGACACTAACATTCTGATCTTGGTCATTCTGGTCGTCCCAACCGACGGTTCCACCTTCTGCAAACGCAGAGCTTGAATTCCCAAACAAACTAGGCCTTTCAGAAGCAGCTGGGTTCATTTTCACGTCATACAGACGCTTTATTTTGACGTAGTTACTTTGGAGCTGTTCTATCTGGCGGGTACGTCTTTCTGCTTCATCAACAGTTCTATTTTTTTTTTTTTTTTTAATTAAGAAACTTATTGAGTTTGTTCTTATAAAAAGTTATTTTCATTTTTTTTATTATAAAAATTAAATTAAAGTATTTGGAGGATTTTTATAGATAATTATAATTGAAAAGGATACATAACCCGAAGTTTTAAAGCTTCAGAAACTTTTTTCTTCAATTGAGAAATATGATCCGAATACTGATTCATTTGGAACCTAATATTCGCAGATAAACTAGCGAATGCCAATGAAGCTTTTGGTTTGCTCTGTCGCTGATTGAGCTGCTCCATAATTTCATCAAGAAGTTTTGCGCATTCATCATGCTGCGTGATCCTATTTAATTAAAATTTATTTATTTACTTTTTAATAAAAAATTCTGACAGTTAAATTTTTACAAAAATAATTTATTAGAAAAATTCTAATTGTTAGTAAAATTACACTGAAGTTGATAAACATTATAAATTTGTTTTTATAATTTAATAGAAATAAAATAATTATAAAAAAAATTCCACTTGTAAAAATTTTTTATTGTTACAAAATTAAAAAAACATTGATTGACAGTTATAATCAGCCAATTTCAGTATTATTATAGTCAACTTCAGTTGTAACAATTAAAACATAACCCATAAATAATTAAAAAATTTACCAAGGATCATTGTCATCCAAATAAATTAAAGCCATATCAAAAAATAGAAATGACAGGCACGTGGTATATAACTTCTGACTTATTTAATTCGGAGTCCTTATCTCCGCCATACTTTCCTTATCATCATCATCATCATCAATAATAGCTCCTCCAATAAAACATAAATGTCGATCACCTCGATCTGAAATTACATTTTTTTCTTTAACAAGAGAATTAAAAATAGTAATTTAATGACTGTCGCCAATACTCACAATAATCTCCAAGAATTATCCATAAAAATAATAATATAAATATGTGTGTGTATAAATAAATATACCAGTGATTAGTATAGACAGCAGTGACGACAACAGAGTAGCTGCGCATGCGCGCTGTTTATTTCTGTTTTAGTAATTGTAAAAGCATCGGAAAAGTTGAGCATTCAGCACACTGCTGCATTACACACACATGTCACATGTGTTACATACATATATATATATATATATTTATATGAAGTACAGGTGTAGGTATATATATATATATATTATATGATTGGCAGCAAACAACACCAGCGCGCAGCTTTAGTCAGTGAATAAAGGGACGCGTGCGTAAGAGCATGTAAAAAACTAGACGGTAAAAAAGGAGCGACGTAGTTTAGCCCCAGACAGGTGGAAGTTAAAGTGAGAAGGTTGAACACGAGTTTTCCTGGATCTGAACAGTGGATTTAATTATAAAGTGGCTTATGAAGACAGACCAGAAATATTTAGACATTGTTTGCTGGACATGATTTTATTTCAATAGATAGAGATAGTTGTTTGTACAGAGCAGTGACTAGTGACTAGTGAGTGAGTGTGTGCCATTGAGCAAGATAATATTTAATTAATGTGAGACTCTGTCTACTTTAAAGAGCCATCTTTAGTTTATTCCGCGGTATCACGTTCCATACGTTTATTGAAAATAATCGACGAGGACAAGTCTTCGAAAATGTCGGGAGAAAGCGAGATTCTCTGGTCGAATCGTTAATCCCATTAACATTACCAGGATCTACTGCTAAATATATAAATATTATACCTTCTAACAAGTTATCATCAACAATAACATCATCTATCAATATCAACATCTTGCTACGCAAAAGGTCTCCAGAAGAGTGGGATTTAAGTCTTCCGGATTTTAACGGGTCAGTAAATTATTTATTTTATTTATTTTATTTTTTTTGATAAAAAAAAAAAAATAATAATAATTGTACAAGTATTTTGACGTTTCATGGAGTTGCGCTATGCGCGCAACTCTCACATATTTTATTATGTATTATTACTGAATTATTTTTACTGAGTATTGTTATTATTGTTGTTGTTGTTGTTAGTGTTGTTATTTTTTATTTGTTGGTGTATGTGGATTTCCAGTTACTTATTATGAAGGAGTTTATGGTGAAATGTTTAGTTACCTCAAAAAGTACCTCAAGGTTAACTTGATTAGAGAAAAAGAGCTGGAGTTATGTTGTGATATGCATATTGATTTTTAACTTTTTTTTATTTATCACCATTCCTGGAATAACTGTTCACAATAATCATACTGAAGTTAGCTGATAACTGTCAATTTTTATCATTTTTAAAACAATTAAAAAATTCTACTAAAAATATTCACCCAGAATTTTTTTATTAAATTTTTTATGAAAATTAAATTAGCCGACATCTAAAAATTTTTAGAATTTTTTTTTATTGAAAAAATGATTAGAAAAAAATAAAAAAAAAAATTGTCACTTGTCATAAACTTTAAAAACTGTAAGTACAATTTTTTAAAAATATTTTATTCTTGTAATTTAATTTAAAAAAATAAATCAAAAAATTAAAAATGTCGGCTAACTTTATTATTATAAATTTTTTATGACATTAAAGTTAGCAGTCACTTGATAATTTATTTTTTTTAATAAATTTGCTCCGAAAAATTATTTATAAAAAATTGCATTTTTTATTTTTTTTATTTTCTAAATGTCAATTTTTTTTTCTTATATTCTTTGACTTAATTTATTTATTAAAAAAATTATTAAATATCTGCTGAATTAATTTTTATAAAAAATTATAAAGAAATTTCTAATGTCTGTCAACTTCAGTGTCATTTACAATAATAATGATAATTGTTTTTAAAAAAAAAGCAACTGAGGTGATAAGAAATTATTAAACTTTATATTTGTTATCTCTGTTTCAGTTTAGTATTTAAAAAGTTGCGATGAGTAACACAACAATGGGTGACGTTGAATCTACAGCTTCTTCAGTGGTGTTTAGCTCGACGATTGGGACTATCAGAGAAACCAGCACGATTATCAATGACATTGAGCCGACTCCAATATTTCTCCAAACAAGAGCCGCTCAGGGAATTTCTGGAGCCTTTGTATGGCTTGCGCTATTCCTTACTTGCCAACAGGTAATTTTTATTATTTTTATTTTAATTGAATTAATTATTAATATAAATATGGGGCTTGTAGATTTATCAGCACCTGAGGTGGTACACAAACCCAACGGAGCAGCGATGGATCGTCCGTATTCTGTTCATCGTCCCGATTTACGCGACTCACTCTTGGATCTCTCTGTTGTTCTTCAACAACGAGAGCTACTACGTGTACTTTTTTACAGTCCGTGACTGCTACGAGGCGTTTGTAATTTACAATTTTTTGTCACTGTGCTACGAGTACCTGGGAGGCGAGGGGAACATCATGTCGGAGATCCGGGGCAAGCCGATACGCTCGAACTGCCTCTACGGCACCTGGTGTCTGGTCGAAAAAACCTACACCATCGGATTCCTCCGGTTTTGCAAGCAAGCAACCCTGCAGTTCTGCCTGGTCAAGCCCGTCATGGCGTTTGTTATTATCATCCTGCAGTCGCTGGGCCACTACAGAGACGGAGACTGGTCTCCGGACGGCGGATATATCTACATAACTGTTATCTATAATATCAGCGTCTCACTAGCCCTCTACGGACTCTTTTTGTTTTACTTTGCCACTCGGGACTTGCTTACGCCTTTTGAGCCAGTTCTTAAATTCTGCACTATCAAGAGTGTTATCTTCTTGTCATTTTGGCAAGGTAAAATATTTTATTTATTTATAGTCAATAAATGCATTCGAAGATGCCCTATCTCTAGATACATTATTAAAAAATGACCTTGTATCTTGTGAACTATTGACATTTTTAAAGATATAAGCTCATTCTGATATTACACTCATCGATACCTTTCATTTGAGTACCCACATCAATTTTTCATATATTTATTCATATATTTATATATATATATATATGAAAAATATATCAAAAATACATGTGGGTACTCAAATGAAAGCTCTTGATGAGTGTAACATCAGGATGAGCTTATTATCTTTAAAAACGTCAATAGTTAAGAAAGTACAGTGCAGTTTGATAACAATCATTATTTAAATCTGTATTATTTTAATTAAAGGTGTCTTACTTGCCGTCCTGGAAAAAGCTAACGTAATTTCTCCAGTAATAGACAATTTGGGTCATGCAACTAGCGCTGGTACAGTATCAGCTGGCTATCAAAACTTTTTGATCTGTATAGAAATGCTTTTCGCGGCAATAGCTCTTCGTTATGCTTTTCCGTACCAAGTTTATGCGGCCGGTTGTGTCACCGATTCCCGAGGCCGAAGTGTCACTATGCAAAGCATCAGCAGCAGCTTAAAGGTTTGTATTAGTAAATCAATTAAATAAAATGAGTCCACATTACATATTATTACACATTACATATTAACATTAATAATAACATTTATTATTTCTTTGAAGGAAACAATGAACCCCAAGGACATTATGACTGACGCCATCCACAATTTCCATCCTCAATACCAGCAGTATACACAATACAGTTCTGGTATGTCCAAATCAAGTTTATATGAAAGTAACAATTTTATTTAGTGCATCATCAATGTTTATTAATTAATATTAATATATATAACAATAACAATAACTTTTTGAAGCAAGTTAATCAATAATCATTCAAATTAATGTCATCATCATAATAATAATAATAATATAAATGATGTACATTTATCACAGCATGATACTAATATAGAGCATGTAAAGCGAGTTAATAAAAAGCATGTACGTTTTTTATTTCATTAATTTTATTTATTGATTTTTATTTATGTTAATTATGTTGCATGTGTATGTTTTATTGTTTTATTAGAATTTTTTATAATAATAATAAAGCCGCTATTAAACGCACTCGCATAATATACTTGACTTTTAACTTTTGTTTATGATTTATTATTATTTTATTATTTATTATTTTATACACTTATTTTAAAAATAAGCAATTTATGGATAAGGTGGCGGTTTATTTAATCGTGTGGAGTACATACACTTTTAATAATAATAATAATAATAATAATACGAATTGAGGAAGTAGCGTCGAGATAAACAACGTCTGACAAGTGCTTTCTTTTTTTACTATTTTTTTCAGACGTCAATACCAACTTGCCGTACGAAAAGCTGTGAGAATTTCAGAGCCAATCGCATTTTTTAAATTCAACACTGACAATATCAACTTTCAAGAAATTTTATTTATAAAAATTATATTATTAAAATAATAATTCTTTTTTTTTTTTTTTTTTAGGATTCAATTGGCATAACACTGAATAAAATACTCTGTTTTTTTTTTCTCTGGTGGATTTTTGTCTACTGTTTTATACAATAGATTTTTTATTACGGTCGCAGCACTTTTATTAACTTAATAAATTTTTTAAGATTAAACTAGTAACCTTGCAGTCACTACGTGACTGCCGTGACTTGCTTACTATAAATAAATAAAATTTTGCTTGATTAAATAATGAATTTTGATGAATCGTACTATACTTTCTTAAATATTAACGTTTTTAAAGATATAAGCTCATTTCCGTGTTACATTCATCAAGAGCTTTCATTTGAGTACCCACATCAATTTTTCACATATTTATATATATTATATATATGTATATATGACAAATATATGAAAAGTGCATGTAAGTACTCAAATGAAAGGTCTCGATGAGTATAACATAGGGATGAGCTTATATCTTTAAAAATGTCAATAGTTCACAAGATACTTATTAAAATTTCCTGTACTTTCTTAAATATTGACTTTTTCAAAGATATAAGCTCATCCCGATGTTCCACTCGTCAAGAGCTTTCATTTGTGTACCCACATGCACTTTTCATATATTTTTCATATATTGATATATATAATATATAATATATATATGAAAAATTGATGTTGGTACTCAAATGAAAGGTCTCGATGAATGTAATGTCGGGGTGAGCTTATATCTTTAAAAATGTCAATATTTCTCAAGATACAAGGTCATTTCTTCATAATGTATCGGTGAGAATGATATGAAACCTTAATAAGGCACAAATTCAAGTCAAGACCTTTACAATGACACTAAATTTCACTAAAAAAACTGATTTTTTCATGTGTGCGTAAAATTTTTGCATTTAATGTATTAATTCATTTATTAATTATAATATTGTGATAAAAAATTTTTTAAACCATATTTTGTGAGTAATTATAAAATTGAAAATCCACCAGAGGTAATTTACTTAATTATTTTAATACAAAATAATTTTTACTTGACTCTCTATATCATCAGGGATTACATTTTCATAAATAAATTTTTTAATAAAATCGTTTTTATAATTTATCAGGTTTGGCGTGATTATCAAAATATTGTACAATAGTATTTAAGCATTTAATCAAGTACTTAATAGATGTATAATTTTGACAAGATTATTAATTTTTTTTCAATAAATAGAGATAGATTATTATAATAAAAAAATAATAATTTTGACTTGGTATTAATTGATAAAAATAAGCATGATTAATAAAAATATGCATTAACCGAAAAAATGTGCAATGTGTAAAGAACTAGCGAATTTAATGATTTAAATAGGAGTAAGTGAATAATTTATATTTATTAAAATTTTATTGCATGAATAAAGTAGCTTTATATATTGCCATTAATTTTGCATGATTATATGATTAATTATTCGATATGTCATATTTTTAAAAGTACAATCTGCAACTTGCATTTATTTTTATATCAATAAATTAATTAACATTTATGATAGTTATTATTATAAAATATAAATTAATTAAATGGTGTATGGATAATTTGGTAATAAAATAGGTGGTACTAAGAACCAGAGGGGTATGAGAGTCTCAAGCTTTGACCCAGATGATCCCCAGAATATGCCAGTTCCACCACCGCAGAGACGCAACACTTCTCATCAGCGTGTTGCTACTATTTCCCAAAATTATAATGAAAAAACTATGCTGCTAAGTAGTGACGATGAATTCCAGTAGAGATTATTAAATAAATAAATTTTAATTATATGTTAATTAAATTACACTGTAAAAAAATTTTTTTTTCAGTGTTTAAAAAAAAAATAGTCCAAATTATTTTACTGGCAAAAAAAAAAATTAATTAATAAAAAAATTTAATTATTTAATAAAATCCGGTTGATTTTTAGGATCAAGTCTGAGACTAAAGCTTTAGTATTTATAATTATTATTATTATTTTTTAATGTTAATCTCTTAATTATGTTACACATTAAAAACATTAATTATTTTATTAGTGTTGATTAATTTAAACAAAACTTAAATAAGCATTTATTGTTGTGCGATTTATATTTAATTACAAATGTTAATATAATATAATTAATTATCATTATTATATACATAAATGTATGACATAAGATTTCATTTTTTTTATGTTACATTTGTTTACGTTAGTTTTTATAATTACAGTACTTAACTTATAAAAAAAAATTGTTATTATTTTTAGTTGAACTTTAAAAATTATCCAGTGCAATTTATAAATTCTTTGTAAAGACTTAAAAAATTATTTTTTTTTTTGTCAGCTGGATAATTTTAAACGGCAATTCTTCCTTTAATTACAAAACCAAGACTCGAATTGAAAAAGTGAATCTAGCTGGATATATACATGAAGAAATATAACAAAAAAAAAAGATAACATATTATTAAATGTGACGATACAAAAAAATTGATTATTATAAAAAAAAAAAATAAAAACCTGATTGTATCGTCGAGTCCAAAAATAACAAAAATAAATATATATTATGTATATACCGTTAACATAGATTATAAATTATAATTATTGATAATAATAATAAAATTTTAATTTTTTGGAACTGCAACCTGACAGCTGTAAAAAAAATACTTGATATTTTTCAAATCTAATAATAAATTTTGTTCTACTGTAAAAAATGTCTACGAAAATTGGTAAAAAAAATTTGGTAATTATTTACAAGTGTCCACCATTTAAATTTTCATTTTTTTCAACGAAATTTTTTTTTGAATTGTTAATTAAAAAAATGAACAATTTATAAAAAAAAAAAAAAATTGATTATCACAATTTTAACAACATTGACCTTGTATCTCGTGAACTATTGACATTTTTAAAGATACAAGCTCATCCCGATGTTACATTCATCAAGACCTTTCATTTGAGTACCCACATCAATTTTTCATATATTTTATATATTTATATATATTGCATATATGTATATATGAAAAATATATCAAAAATGCATGTGGGTACTCAAATGAAAGCTCTTGTTGAGTGTAACATCAGGATGAGCTTATATTTTTAAAAAAGTATGGACCATATTTAAGAAAGTCCAGTACAATTTAACAGACGTCATTATATAAAAAAAGCAAAATTTTATTTATTTATAGTTCACAAGTTCTTTTTTTTAATTGTTCATTTTTTTATTTAAAAAAAATATATATTATAAAATATATTTATCCAAAAACATGAGGTAAAATTTTTTCCAACTTTTGAATATAGAAAAGCTTTATTTTTTTTCTTCCGATATTTTTTTCCAGAATAAAAAAATATTAATTTTTAACTTGTAAATAATTCCCAAAAATTTCAATGATGGCCTACATCATCATAATATAAATATAATAATACACTGAGCCTTTAATAACTTTAAACTCACAAATTAATTATAACATAAATATAAACATCAATGAAGCTGTTAAGTCTGTAAGCATCAAAATAAATATTTTTATCTCAACGCCATAAAAAAATATATATATAAATAAATATATTATATATTTATATATTTATCAACAATATATATATTTCAAAAATAAAACATCTAACTATCTATTAGCAGTACTCCTGCTCCATCCAAGCCAGGGAGCCTCCTGCTCTTCGTCAAAATTTTCACTTTGAAATTCTTCCTCTGAAGAACTGCACCTGCGTTTCTTCTCACTCTTACAACCACCTTTATTATCAAAATTACCCCCAGAATTTTTACAATCATGTTTAATCCCATCCTCCTCAACATCCTGAAAATGTAGCTCATGATCCATGTACTCAACCACATTATTTTCCTCACTAGTGTACTTATTATACTGCTCGTCAACCTGTCGCTCGACCACTGCATTCAAAGAACTAGTGCTCGCGTCACAATTGTAGTATTGTACAAAAGAGCCGTTCTCTGAGACAATAACCGGCTCGATGGGCTTGAACCCGATCGATCTCAGCCTAGCTACTCTCATGTCCCTGTCCGACAAAGCCACAAACGCCGACAAATTATCATTATCATCATTATTAATATTAATATCAACATCATTCCCACTATAAAATTTTTTATCCCTCAAAGATTCTTCTTCTTCTTCTTCTTCTTCTTCTTCCTCTTCAGAATTGCTATCTTCAAACTCTGATTTAACTTCTTCCATTTCTTCCTCGTCTTCTAAATCAATCACTTCAATTTTTACAAAAGACTCTTCATTTTTTTTCTGAGTCTCCATGTTTACAAAAGTCGTCGCATCTTTTGTAGTAATACACTGCGTTGATGCGTCAACCATTCTCGGTTTTATTAATGAAGATTCTGTATTTATTATTTTATTTCTTCTTTTTAAAATATTATTATTATTAATATTCTTATTAATATTGCAAATATTTCTATCTCTTAAATTACCCTGAATTTCATGTTTCCTTTCAGCCTCTTTGTTCTTAACAATAGTATGCCTTTTGCAGACTCCAATTTGACTTTTTTTAGCAGTAGCAATAATCTTTCCTTTCCTTCTAAGCTCAACCCTAGGATAACTAGTAATATAATCCGACAAATCCTTCCTTTTACTCAAAATAATAGCGGGACATCTTAGCCTCCTATTTTTCATAGTCCTAGTTTGAATACACTGCCCGCGTAAATTCATCCCGAAATTAGCATCAATAGTTAAATTAGCCAGCTCATTTCTCCTTTTTCTAGGTACTGATTTTTTACTCTTATTCTTGCTCCTTTTAAGATTAGTCTTCACTTCTTGATTCTTAACCGTTGACCTTGTCTCTCTAAAATGGTCAATATTACTCTTTACCTTTCCAGAATTTAAATTTTTACCTTCATTCTCCGGGAGCCCAATAATGCTTCCAATAAGCAATTTTCCCGTAGGATTGTACCGTTTTTTAATAATCAAATTCAACATTTGCTCCGGAGTCATAGTTTCTATCTCCACTACTGCTTTTTGAAGATCAACTTTTTTTTCTGAGAGCCCTGAAGATTCCGAGCCAACAGAAGCTCTAGTGCTTGCTCTGGAGTCCAAAAACAAATTTTTATCTTCTTGTATTTTTTTTAAGTCCACATCTAATTTCTTACTCTCGGACTTGGTTTTATTGTAAACTCTGCAGTAAGTCATAGGAGTTTTTTTAACATCTTGCTGAGGATTAGGCGAAGAGTCATACAACTCAGTTCTAATTGATATATTAGTATTCTGCAATTTATAAGGCTTGGAAATAAAATTAAGGCTGTTTAGCAATGAAGCTTCTTTTTCAGCTTCCTTTTCTTTCTCTCCAAGATCAGCATTTAATTTTACCTTCTCGACGTCAGACTCGCAAGATTTTAATTTTTTAGACTCCTGAGAGCAGCCGTACATGTGACACTTGTACAATCCGCAGGATTTTAATGGAGATTTCTGAGAAGAAGATTGTCTGGTGACAATCCTAGTTTGAGTCACCCAAGGCGGAGCTTCTTGATGATTAAGCCTCGCTAGAGCGTACTTGTAATATCTAGTTGAATCTTTAGAGTTGATCCCGATCCAGCAGGACGCCACGATGTACAAGCCGTCGTATCTGTAACCAGTCTTAGGAGCGAACTCATTCGCTAAGTTGTAGCTCCGGATTAATCTCAGCGGAATGTGGTTGTTGAAGTTGGTTAATAGAGGGTCGGTAGGCTTGCTCTGGTTGTATTTACCTCCTGTGAAGGTCAGGTAGGTGCCCAGGTCCACGTCGTTGGTTGTGTTCACGTGGGACGTGCAAATTGAAGCCACTCCGAAGATTCCCTCGTCGATGTCGTTGTCGAAAGATTTATGGACTCTGTCTCTAGCGCAGTCCATGCGGATTCCCCACCAAGATCCAGAGGGAAATCCTTCGATTACTCCGTATGTTACGTCCTCGCTGTTACCCTGGAGGATAATTAGGTAAATATAGTTTTTTTTTATTATTATTATTATTTTGTCAGGGTGTACTTACGATGTGACTTTGTCTTACATCACTTGTTTTGTTAGTTTGTTTCTTGGACTCGGTATTTAATTTTGTAAATAATTTACTCCATTCTTCTTGAGTTTTATTATCAATCTAAAAAATTAAATTTTTATTTTTATTAATTATAAATATTATATTGAAGATAGCAGACATCTGTCAATTTTTTTATTTTTTATTAAAAATTAATAAAAAAAAAAAAATATTTTTAAAAAAATTGCACTTTTAATTAAAAAAAAAAATTTTTTTTCACAACTTAGTTGTTATAAAAGTCTAAAAAGTGACAGGTGTCTGTTAATTTCAAAATAATTGATAAATAAATTAAAAAAAAAAAAATAGATTTGTTTATTACCTTGCTCCGTGATCGTAGTTTCCGCAAAATAGCGTCATTATCCTTGAGAGTGTTTGGATAAAAATTAACATTGAGCGCGTTTTTAGCCATTTTTAACCATCTTATAAATACCACTTTTATTATTTTAATATAAATTATCTCAGCTCACACTTTTTTGTAAACACACAGTACACACAGCACCTAAAAAATTTGTTTTTTTACACAATTTATTGTAATTGTAAATTTTAATGGAAGAAAAACATGTACGTATGCACGCTGATGTCTAATGTAAATCTGTCTTTATCCTTTAGAAAGTAACTTCATGATCTGTCGCTCATTTATTTTCAATTATTATATAAATATTTTGTTAATACACTTAAACGTGAAAATAAGAGTGTAATTTATAAAAAAAAAAAAAAATAATAATAATAATAATAACAAATAAACTATAAACTTTCATTTAAATGTTCACATTTAGTAAATAATAACAATATTTTGTTACGGCTGTATCGCACTGTAATTTTAGTATGGCGCCATCTTACGGAAAATTTAAAAATTAACTTTTTTAATTTCCAAAAAATAATATTTGCAAAAATACTTTTTAAAAATGGACGTCATAATTGTTTTTTAACAATTCTAATAAAAATTTATAAGTTTTATTTTTTTTTTTTATTAAATAAAATTTTATTTTAAAGTTTTAAACTTACGGGATCTCGCAACTCGATTCTATCGACTCTGAATGATCGATATAATTTATTTTATACATAATATTATTATTATTATTGTATATTGTATATATACTAAATTTTTTTATTAAGATATTTATACCGCTAGACAATTTCAAGCGACTTATCAATCTAAATTACCAAAGTTTAATTTTTAATTATTAATTTAAAGTCAGTGGTTAGTGATGTGAAAATAAAAAACTGCAAAAGTATTTTATTTGTTATTACAGAGTATGCAAAATAATAAAGGAGGCTTGTCGTCGTCCTCCTCGTCATCGTTAGAAGATTTGGATCATCCGAGAGTAGAAAGATCTGGTTATCAAAGTCAAGGTAGTAAAAATAATTCACCTTTTATTAATTGACATTTATTTATTAAAAATTAATTAAATAGATATTTAATAATTATTTTAACAAACAGCAAAAAAAATAATATTAAAGTTAGCCGACGTTTTTAATTTTTTAATAATTAAATTAGACCAAAAAAAAAAGTTTAAAAAATTGCATTTACAGTTTTTCAAGTTTTTTATAAATGAAATTTTTTTTAATAATTTTTTCAATAAAAAAATATCAAAATTAATTTCACATCTAAAAAACTTGAAAAACTATCAGTGCAATTATTTAGAAATATCTTTTTAATTGTAATTTAAATAATAAAAAAAATCAAAAATATTTCGACGTCTTACTTCACTGTCATAAATAAAGTTAGCCGACATTTAAAAATTTTTAGAATTATTTTTTATTGAAAAAATTGTTACAAAAAAAATTCACTTGTAAAAAATTTAAAAAACTGCACGTGCAATTTTTTAAAAATATTTTTTAGTTATAATTTAATCAATGAAAAAACAACAAAATATTAAAAACGTCGGCTAATTTTAGCCTATCTGCCTATCTTTAATGTAATTTTAATTATTTATTAACAGTGTAAAATTTAATTTTTTAGAAGCGATGCCGAAAAAAGAAGAAAACCCTTTTAGTTTCAAACACTTTCTAAAAAAAGACTCTAATTACTCTCACGCTGGCGCAAGACCCAAAGTTTACTCCAGCCGAGTGAATTCTCTGGCCACAAATCCGGTGACAGCTGACAGCGTAGTGACCGAAACAGACGGAATCTATGCAAGAAACCCAACGGAACTTCCGGATTTCGTCCAGGACCACCTGGTGATCGAGCAGTGCTACCTGAACCACCAGGACGCGGCTTCAGGGACCCAGATGATCGCTGACATCGACAACCTGCCGGACTTTGCGCTGAACAGCGTCGAGTCTCGGCCATTGCGCCACCGGAATGAGCAACATTCGGTGAAGAAGCACGACACTGTTGGCGACCTGCCATTCGACTTGACTACGGGGAACGACAAGAGGAACCTCGATGGCTACCGCAATCTGAACCACGGCTCTCCGGACAGAGAGACCATCAGAGAGCCGATGAACTTCCCTCTAGACCTGCCCTTCGCGGGACCTTCTTCAGACCAGGGTAATTCTGTCCAAATTAATTCTAATGAAAGTATCCACTCTCTGGGTGGCGATAATGGGATTCCCAAGTCGCTCCCGGATTTTCTCAATGATGGACCCATCAGGAATAGAGTTCCTTTGCCGGATAATACTGGGAATCATATTGAATCTTCACACCCGCCTCTGCAAATGGAGATTGAGATGCTGAGACATAATCTGGAGATTGCTCGCAGGCAGAATAGCGAGAAGAACAGGAGGATCCAGATGCTGGAGGCTGAACTTGCTTCTAGAAGAGCTGTGGATTATGAAGAGACAGCGCATTTGGAGAAAGCTATGGAGCAGGTTGAGGATAATCTGAAACGGAGCACGGTATAAATTTTTTTATGACATTTAAATTGATTATTTTTTTTTTTTTAATTAATCAATTTTTTGCAAAAAATTTGATAGAATTGCGAACTATAATAAATTTTGTTTAATTATATAATAACTTCTGTCAAATTGCACCGTACTTTCTTAACTATTGAGATTTTTAAAGATATAAGCTCATCCTGATGTTACAATTATCAAGAGCTTTCATTTGAGTACCCAGATGCATTCTTGATATATTTTTTATATATACATATATATTAATATATAAATATATGAAAAATTGATGTGGGTACTCAAATGAAAGGTCTTGAAGAGTATAACATCGGGATGAGCTTAGATCTTTAAAAATGTCAATAGTTCACAAAATACAAGGTCATTTCTTAATTATTGACATTTTTAAAGATATAAGCTTATTCCGACGTTACACTCATCGAGACCTTTCATTTGAATACCCACATCAATTTTTCACATATTTTATATATTTATATATATTGTATATATTTATATATGAAAAATATATCAAAATTGCATGTGAGTACTCAAATGAAAGCTCTCGATGAGTGTAACATCGGAATGAGCTTAGATCTTTAGAAATGTCAATAGTTTATAAGACACAAAGTCATTTCTTCATTATGTAGCGGGAGTTAAAGCAATAAAAAATTGTAGTTGTAATTTTTTAGATCAAATTGTTTGAATAACATTTTTTGATATAATTTATTAGTTAAAAAATTTATAAAAATTATTACAAGTTTTTACTTTTATTTATATTAATTATTTTTAGAGGAGAGCTGTCAATGCTGAAAGTGCTGTCACACAATTAAAACAACAAATTAAAGAACTAACGGTAAGTAAATTAATTTATTATTTTTCATAATTAAGATTTTTTTTAATCATAATTTTTTTTTAAACAGGCGGAAATTTCGGTCCTGAGAATAGAAAACAGAGAATTAAAAAATGTCATGGGAGCTGGCTGTAGTTTCACCTCCAGAGATGGTGACAAAAAAGTTCTAAAACTGGCTGGTGATCTAAGAGAAGCTGCTTCATCAGCTGAATCTTATCTCAGACAACTGATGTCAGGAGTAGATAATTTAAAAATAATAGCTTCAACCCTGGAGAACTTGGACAGGATAGAAGATCGAACCAAAGACTTGCTGCCGGACTTTGACGAAGACAACGCCGCAGGACCGGCATTATAAAACCCCAGTCGTAATTATTATCAGTATAAATAGTTTTTTGTTTACATAACTATTTGTCTACAACTTTAAATATTCTAAACATTTTATTTATTATACATCAAATATATATATATATATATATATATTATACTTTTGTACATAAATAATATACTTAATTATAATTTAGATATATATTTATACAATTAAGTAATAAGATGCGCGTTCTGTGAACGGTTTTTAGTTTTTAGTTATAAATACATGTACACAGATAATCAATGCTAGCGTTATATATTATTATATTACAGAACACATAGTATTTTTAAGAAAAAAAAATATATATTGATAAAAATGCTTATTTTGAAATTTAAAGAGCGATAAATTTGTTATTGATATAATTAAATAGGCAAGACAAGAATAAGTATGAATATAAATTTTTAATTTTATTATTTTACCGCGTACATGCTTGTGGTGCTTTTTAGTAATGTATATTATAAAAATTCAATACAAATAAAATAATAAATATTATCTTTTATTTTTGTCAGATCTTAGTAATTATCTATATTATTAATAGAATAAGTGAAATTTTTTGGCGAGTGTATTTATATGATAAAATTGAGTTTTATGAAAAAATTACCTTGTATCTCGTGAACTATTGACAATTTTAAAGATATAAGCTCATCCTGATGTTACAATAATCAAGACCTTTCATTTGAGTACCCACATCAATTTGTCATATATTTTATATATTTATATATATGTATATATGAAAAATATATCAAAAATGCATGTGGGTAATCAAATGAAAGCTCTTGATGAGTGTAACATCGGGATGAACTTATATCTTTAAAAATGTCAATATTTTAGAAAATACAGGACATTTTAATAAATATCTTGTGAACTATAGACATTTTTAAAGATATAAGTTCACTCCGAAGTTATACTCATCAAGACCTTTCATTTAAGTACCCACATCAATTTTTCATATATTTATATATATATGTATATATGAAAAATATATGAAAAATGCATGTGGATACTTAAATGAAAGCTCTTGATGAGTGTAACATCGATATGAGCTTATATCTTTGAAATATATATTATTGCACGCCTCATAGCGCGTGAGGTTAAAATTTAATAAATTAAATAATTGTCTTGGAATAAATGAAATTATTAATAGTTAATAAATCCTTCTATAAATGTATCAAACGGAAGATTTTCAGAAAAATTAATCACGTGCATATGTTACGTCTGACTAAAATTAAATTATACTACTTGAATTGGATAAAGGTATTAAAAAATAATTCTCAAGATACAAGGTCATTTCTTAATTTTTTATTTAAAGAAATGCAGCCTAATAATAGTAAATAAAAAAAATAAAAATACCTGGTGGAATAGCGATTAATGATCTTGAGGATTAAACTTTTCATCCAGAGGATTCAATGAAATCAACCAGTCACCAAAATAAATACCTAAAATCAACAAAAAATAAAAAACTCCACAATCCCCATAAAAAAAATAAAAATATAAAACAAATACCTTATGTAATTCCGCTTTAGAAAGTATCAACCCTTGATAGAAATTCTTCGAATGATGATTGGACTCAGTCAGCTGATCTTTGGGAACACTTTCAGTAGCCTTGCTCAAATTGTCAACGATTGCGATCAAGTCTCTTTGATCCTTAAATTCTCTCTGTCAGCCAACGCTCGTATTGCTTTACCCGTCATTCAGATCACTGACACGTACGTTCCTTCATTTTACTCAACTCTGCACATAATAATTCCAACTGTGACTTGAATTTGGCTTGATTTTTCGTCAGCTGATCAACCGATGGTGCTGAACAACTGCGCCGGAGAATTTTTTTCGAGAATGTGTAGAGAGAGAAAGACACTTTGATTTTTATCAACTTTAATAGTTATAGATAATTTTAAATAAATTTTATTAAAATTTTTTTTTGTATATTATTAAAAAATAAAATAAAATAAAAAAATAAAACTGGTGTTTTTTTCCGTCGGAAGACTTTTTTCTTTTCTGAAGACAAATTTTTCATGAGTCTTCCGACAGTGAGATCTCAGTACTTTGTAAACAAAATTAACTCAATCACATTCTCACTCTCTAATTATTTATTTTATTTTCAGGTATGTACTTAATAAAAAAATATAAAACAAATATATGTGAAGAAATATATACCAGACAATGTGTTGTTTTATTTTTCTTTTGCGAAATCTACCTTACCGACAGTAGCAAATTTTTGCGTAACTTATCAAAACTTTACCAAATGACAAAAATAAACAGATGATTCTCGTGATTCTCGATTTTCGATTTGTAACAATAATAATTAATCAATTAAATTTATAAATTAATTATTTGGTCATTGTTTATAATTTTATTGTGAACTTTGATCTTAAACTAAAATTTTAAAAAATGAATATAATATTTATAAATAATATGATGTAATAAAATAAGTATAATAAAATAATTATTTATAAATAATTATTTTATTTTCGCAAATAAAAATAAAAAACTTATTGCAAATTTAATAAATAACTAACTGCAAAATAAATATATAAATTAATAAAATAATAATTAAAAAGTAATTAAATACTTTAATCATAAGCATTAACTTGTAAAAAATAAGTTAGTAACAATTTATTTTAATTTTTATTTAACAACAAGTCTTTCGTAACAAAGAATCACAGGGGAGATGCGAAAAATTTCTAAGTTACTAAACATGTTAATTTCGCTAGTCGCGCTACCGAACTATCTCCGTCCGCTAAGCCTATTACTACTAACTGCTTTTCCGCGCCAGGACCTTAGCGTCGCTCGTATTTATAGTGAACGCGTATCCCCTGCGGGGGGTCTAGCGCGTAATCTAGTATTTCACGGTTTTTCATGCATATTAAAAGGGTTAACACAAGCTACACATTAAAAATGACACCGTATATTATATTACCTTAATATAATTAAGAAGCTTATACTTCAGAATCTCATTAAATCAGTTCAATACCCACTCCACAGTGTGGGTATTAAATTCAAATATTAAAAAGGTATATCAAACCTTATGGTAATGCTTATGTCGATTTACGCAAATCGACTTGACCGAAAGCGTAAAAACGCAATCTAAACAAGGTGATCATTAAACTATAACGAAAAAGCATATTTACTAACTAAATACTATGTGGTAAAAAGTGAAAGCACGTAAATACTACTATTATCATCGTATATAATTAAATTTGAGAACGCTACAATCATCACGGGTCGATGTCTTTGGCTGAATGGCTCCTTATGTGGTGCATGCTCGTAGAGCTTGAAAAACTTGAGACTAAAGTTCATTATACACTTTAATCTCGATGCAAACAGAGTGTCGACTCTCTTAATTCCGAGCACGCGGAAGGGTTTTTTTTTCCCTTATCCCGCCCCGTAACCATCGGTTACACGATGCATATTACCAATAATCCACATCTTTGATGTGTCGAGCTATTATATTTGAAATGAGGAATTGACGGAGGGCAGGCCATTGTAGCCCGCCTATGGACTCTTTGAAAGAAAATGTAACGACCCAGATGTTTGCAAATTAGTAAGAAGAAGTTACTAATTACTAATCAAAGTTACATTGAGTCCGGATCCTGCTGCGACAGGTTTCATCGAAACCCGCAGTCCAGATCAGTTATTATATTTTTTTTGCCTCTTGGTGGATAGAAAGGCCATCATTAATGTGCTGACTATCACCTCAGATGTCTTGATTATAATAGTAACAGCTAGATGACTACTGAGGTCCAATATAACAAACTTGTGACTTGAACGAAACGAAACGAAACGAAACATTACGTCTCTATTATAAAAAACTTGTAGGTACTTGTGCAGTCACCTGATTTAGTAAATAAAGTCGATAGAAAAAGACTCATGTCTTATATTAATCACAGAATTAAACAAAGCAAAGTGAAACCACGAATGAAGTGTAAACATAAGAAATTAATACATGCCACATATATGGATCCGTTGGTTAATAAAATAGAAATCATTAAAGGTTGTCATACGCACAAGTTCTACAAGATGAAACGTATGTTATAATAACACAAGCAATGGGTCTCATAGAATAATGTGTCATCAATTTAGAGAGTGGTTACATGGTGGTCATTATAGAGTTAGCATATTGGTGGTGGCCCACCATATGGGGCCTGTCGGATTTTGGTGGACCTCGCAAGGGTAGCCAAGACCGAACTTTGATCAAAAAAGACAGGCTGGAGTGACACACGGTAGCTCAACCAACGGTGTGTAAACTCTTCGCTGGAGCTTTCGCGATTGAAACTCGATTATCCAATTTTTTTTTTTTGTATTATATTTTAAACTAAAGCACGAACGTGCAACTATATAAGGGAAACGGCAGTGTTCCACCATTAGTGAAACTTTTGGTGGAACCTCCTGCAAATTTTGATTATATATTACCGTAGTGCGTTCCATCCTTGAAGCAAATCGTGGTGGTTCGTGCTACAAACTCATCAGCGTATCCACCCTAAGAGTAATTTGTGGTGCGCATCTGGCCGTTCGCCCATGTCGTGGGGTTCCCTTGCGTAGGGGCCCCGAGACGATCATGGGATCCTTATCCTACCCATGTCCAAATTATCAGCAACCAAAGGGAGTATAGTTTGTGTTAGCCCCGATGGTTGCTGCTTTAATCCGAGCATGTTCCATCTTATCGATGGTCATGGATCCTAAATTGGCTTTTGCCATAAAAATTTCTCACTGTAATATACGCTACCATGTATATAGGTGATATTAACTGATTAACCTGCACTTACACATTTATAATGTGTAAGCATGCGATCGGGCGTGATATTATAGACATTCCACACTTGTGTGGGCGCCTGGGTATTCGATTCAAAAATTGACGCCATGTACGATGTTGTACGATGGTGTCGCAAATGATTCGGTGTCATCTCTTGGTAATAGTGTGCCTCGAGTTTAGGGTATCATCAATTGCAAATAAATGTTCATCTTGTGCATTTTCCGAATGGGGAAAAAGGTAGCAATTGTTGGATATCATTTTTTTTTAAGTATTGAAAGCAATACGTTTAAATTTTGGCAATATGAATGCAATAGAACTTTGAAATTTTTTTCATTTTTATAGCAACAAACTTTAAATAAATAATAAAAAATTATTTTTTTTTTAAAAGCAATACGTTTAAAATTTGGCAATATGAATGCAATAAAACTTCGAAATTTTTTTTATTTTTAAAATACATATTAAAAAAAAGTTTGGAAAATCCAAAAGTGCATGCCTCATAACGCTCATTCTTTTTTTAAGAAAAAAATTAATTGTGTAATTCATTAAAAAAAAAATTATAATTAAGTAGTTTCTTACACGGTTTTTCTTATTTTTTTAAATATCGGTGCCCTTTTTTCTTGTCATATGTGCACGCAGTCTAAAAAAGTTTGGAAAATCCAAAAGTGCACGCCTCATAATCTCATTTTTTAAAATAAAATTGATTAAAATAAAATATAAAAAGCAAAATAATAAAAAACAGAAAACACTGCTATGGTTTAGTGGCGACATAACTGCAAGGTGATGAAAAAAAAAAAAATACTATAATAAAATATATAGATAGAAATACAAAAAAATCCACAGTCATATATTAGTTTTTTATAAATAATAATTTAACGACAGTGAATTGAACGCTCATATTAACTAAGAAATTCTGTCGTGTGTTACTTTAGATAATTAAAAAAAAATTATTCCGGTACGATCATTTTTTCGACCAATTTCCCTGCCACATACACCCATTCATACACGCCGGACGTCCAAAAAAGATTATGTTTAATGTTATTATTTATTATGTTAAACAAAAAAATTAGAGTAGAGCACAACCTCAACGCTTCGCTTATGAAGCGTGCAAAATAAAATAAAAAATACTCTGTAAGAAATTACTCAATTATAATTTTTTTTTTTTTAATCAATTACACAATTTTTTTCTTAAAAAATGAATGAGCGTTATGAGGCGTGCACTTTTGGATTTTCCAAACTTTTATACGAATACACTGTGTCTTTAATTGTCTTTATAATATAATTGAACATTATAAGAATAGAAAGACTCATGTTGCCTTATCATTCCAAACTTTTTTTTTAATTATTTTTTTTCAAAAGCAAAAGTTTAAAATTTGGCAATATAAACTTGATGGAACTTGGAAATTTTTTTATATCTTGAAAAATGTCAATAATTAAGAAATGACCTTTTATCCTTAAAATTATTGATATTTTTAATGATATAAGCTCATCCTGATGTTACACTCATCAAGACCTTTCATTTGAGTACCCACATAAATTTTTCATATATTTATATATATTATATATATATATATATATATATAAATATATGAAAAATATATCAAAAATGTATGTGGGTACTCAAATGAAAGCTATTGATGAGCATAACATCAGGATGAGCTTATATCTTTAAAAACGTCAATAGTTAAAAAAGTACACTGCAATTTAACAAAAGTCATTATTTAATAAACCAAAATTTTATTTATTTATATTACACAAGTCACGGCAGTCACCAGTGACTACAAGGTTAATAATTTTAGTTAATAAAATATTATTAAAAAAAATAAAGTAATTATTGTAACTCATCAAATATATTAAGAAGATCTGTTTGAGTTTCAGTATGACTAGTTTGTGTGCTGAGCCAGGAACGACAAGCGATAATGGAGGATTTATCGTGACCGGAAGACTCGACATCTAGCTCCTCGGACCAGGCAGTCTGAGTCTGGGTGTCGGAGAGCCCCAGGTCGGGGTGCAAAACATCGTAACACGTTTGCGTGCACATATTACTGTAAAGAAGACTCTTCATGTCGTCGAACTCCTGAGTAGTTTGAGTCTCATTGTTCGAGCTGACGGCGTAGGGCCTCGAGTAGTTCGGCTCGGGGTCGAAGATAGAGTCCAGGTACGGGCGGTCAGTCTGGGTCTCAATACTGCTGAATTTATCATTGATTTCTTCCGTGAGCATCGGGTCTGACCTTGAGATCCTTGTCGCTGAGAACAGCGAGTTCTTGGAGTTAAGCTGGGTGATGCTGTCCTCTTGGTAGAACGGCAGGATGTCTGTCTGGGTGACGTTGTCGTATAAATCATCAATTATGTTCTTCTCTACCTTCGACTCGGGACTTCTTACTGGCCATAACTCCTGCATTCCGTCCAACGGCAGGGAGTCGGAGAATAAATCACTGCTAAATGTCCCTTCATTATTATCATTATTATTACTATTACAATTCTTATTATTATTATTATTATTATTATTATTATTATTATTATTATTATTGTTGAGTTGCAACTCTTTCTTAGGAAGATTTTGCTTCTTATTAATGCTTAATTTTTTGAGCTCTTTGACACTTCCAACTGAAGTTTGAGTCTCTACAGTCTTTCTACTGCGTTTTTCCTTGAGCAAACAATTAGTCTGTGTCTGACGAGACTCTCGGCGTTTGTTAGACTTTGAAGGGCTTAAAATTCGTCGGACTTTCTTCAAATCATCAGTCTGAATTGCCATGTCTCTTGTGTCTTTTATTACTTTTGATTCCTGGGCTCTGTGATTACTTTCTTGATACGGACGAATAAATACTGGCAACTTTTTCTGTACTTTACAGATTTGTACCACTGGAAGATTCTTTGTGGAAGCTCTCCTGCAATAAATTATAATTAATTTTTATATTTTTAGACTTGGACTTGGTAAAAATTAAAGCTAACTTTTAAAAATGAATTTTTAATAATAAATACGAAATAAAAAAATGATTAATAGGGGTGTGCGAACATCGTTCGAATCGAATCGAATTGAATATTGATATTCGATTCGAAATTCGAACCGAATAATTCGAATTTTCGAATTAATCAACATTCGACGAATAATTCGAAAGAATTCGAATAATTCGAAAATTCAAATTATTCGATTCAGAACGAATAATTTGTAAGTTCGAATTATTCGCACACCTCTAATTTTAAACCCTAATCTAGTTAACTTTTGATAAGTCTTGATAAGACTTGATAGCATAGCCACGCGGACATGTAAAAATGAAAACTCTAAATTTCTTCCAAATTAATAATTTAATCAACTGTTTGGCCTAGAATCCTTCTAGAGAATGTGAAAACGATTCGATTGATGCATAATAATCATTAAAAATGAACTTATCGAAAATTTCAAACCCTAGTCTAGTTAACTCTTGATAACAACAGCCACGCGGAAATGTAAAAATGAAGACTAAATTTTTTCCAAATTACTAATCTAATCAACTGTTTGGCCTAGAATCATTGTAGAGAATGCGAAAACGATTCGATTGATGCATAATAAGGATTAAAAATGAACTTATCGAAAATTTCAAACCCTAGTCTAGTTAACTCTTGATAACAACAGCCACGCGGAAATGTAAAAATGAAGACTAAATTTTTTCCAAATTACTAATCTAATCAACTGTTTGGCATAGGATCCTTGTAGAGGAAGTGAAAACGATTAAATGGGTACATAAGAATTATTAAAAATGAGCTTTTCAA